CGGGTTGTATATATAATTTCATAAAGAAAACTATATCTTATAAGGAAATGTATAATGTACGTATATATGTATATGTGTGTGTGTGTGTGCTTTCATATACCCTTAATTTGTTTATATCTTGAGAATTAAGAATCGTAACCACAAACTATATTTATGTTTTCGAAAGGATTTTTGATGGAGAATGTATTCATGCAAGGAAAACATATCCATATAAGGACATCAACAAAATTTATCCTTGAAATAAGGATATGTATCAGGTGAACTGTTGAATAAATGTTTTGTCATGGATTTTGTTATATTGTCATTATGACTTTTATTCCTTATTCATATCCTTTCTATTGTTATTAGTTTTGTTATTAACTTTTATATTTATTATTAAAATGGAACAAAAGTGAAAGTGTTTGATTTATACAAGAGTTTCTTAGTTTCTGAAGTTATATTTGACGATATAAAGAAATTGGTTGGTATTTTGTTATTTATATAATTATATGATTTTGTTTATTAATTGGTAATAAAGATATTACAATGTACCGATAATTGTGTAATTGTGTAAATGTTTCGTTATAGTTTTCGTGCATTACGTGGGCGAGGTTTTATTTCCTACATTTGTTTTTATTCATTATTTACTATTTGTTGAGATTTTGTTGTTAATGTTGAAATGCTTAGATAAGGATGCGATATTAAGCTCTATTTTCTTGTTACTTTACTGAACAGTCTGAAAAAGTGATTTCAGTATGTTCTGTTTTTTGTTAGTGAGGTTCTAGGGAAAATTTACTAGGAACATTAAGGCTGTAGTAGCGCCATGAGGTTGTGGTAAGGAGCGGCCATTTTGTAGAAATCTTTAAATAATTCTAAGCGGTATATTCTTTTATTAAATGTATAGGAAAGATTTGTTTGTGCTGTCTCCTGATACAGTCAGTCATAAGTAATTAAAATTTTTGAAAAATTTACATTAGACATGACCAGAGGTACTCTCGGCGCTGGGACGTGACATTATTAAACTTAACTTCGTGCTCTCGTAGGGAGCTCGCGTATATTACAATATCGTCTAAATATACAAACAACGCTATCCCCTGAAATCCGCACCTAGTCCATTAGTTTTTGGAATGTCGCCGGAGTATTTTTCAACTCAAATGGCATGCGTTTGAAATGATAATGCCCGTAGGATGTAGAGAAGGCCGTTTTCGGCGCATCGACTTCGTGTATTGGAATCTGGTGGAAACCGGACGCCAAGTCGAATATACTGAAATATTTAGCGCTTTCTAATTGATTTAGTATTTCTTCGATGTTAGGTAGGGAGTACGCATTTCCTATAGGTTTTTTATTCAATGCTCTGAAGTCAATAACCATTCTCCATTGTTTATTGTCTTTGGAGTCTGGTTTTTTAGGGAACTATCCACAGGGAAGAGTTATATGGGGATTTCGATGGCGTAATTACATTATTTGCTAATAATTTGTTAACTTGTCACGTGATCTCCTTGTGAATAGGCGGGTAATGATATTGCTTAGTGTTTAAGTGGTTCGTCATGAGTGGTTATGCGGTATGAATATATTTGTTCATACAATCTAAAGGATCTCCTGGCATGGAAATAAATGGCTCTGGAATAAATCCGCGTTATTTTTTATCAGATCTCTGATATGGCTTGTTTCAAACTCGTTTAGATGTTCCAGACGAAGATAATTTCTCGATATTGGCAATTTTATTGTTAGGATTTGTGGACCGTTTGTCGACCGAATTAATTTGGAAGGATCGTGCAGCGATCTAACTTCTTTTATGGGTTTGTTGGACAGGAACTCGATATCCAGCTCTACCATGGGTATTACAACTTCGCTGTCGGTGGTTCCCGTGTTAATAACGTGAAGATAGGCTCTATCGTCGCGATTCGTTACAATTGCTTCGCCCAAATATATTTCCGGCTCTGACGCGATGCGGGGAATGTAGCCCATTCGCACGCTAGGATTTGCTATATTCACGTAGCAAGTCGTGCAGGAACGCGCTGAGACCACGATTGATTCGCGCTGCGAGAAGGGTAGAGGGACTCCTTGCGACTACTACCTTCTTTGCAAAGTTGATGGTGACATTATCGAATCCTAAGATCCCTTCTTGTGCTATCAGGAAATCATCCGGCACGAGGTGAAGTTTAATTTTGTTTCCGAGAAAGGTTGTGTCAACGGACTCCAGGATGGGGATGATACTTTCCGTTATTCCGCTAAGAAACAGGAGATCGTGTTTGATTATTTTTGCATTGCTTTGCATGTTTCTTTATCAGATTTGGGGCAGCTCCGATATCTACCATAAATTTCACGTAGGGTAGTAGTCCATCGATGAACACGTTTATTGTTGGCGCGTGTCTAAATTCTTTAGAATTGAGCGTAGCTATTTGGATTTTTGGTTGCTTGTGCTCGCCGTGTTTTCCGCTAGGTTTATTAGATTTATTGGACGCATTGGTCGCGGTTGATTCGCCCTCACCGCGTCCTGTGGGGCGAATCGTTCGCGTTTCCCGACCGGCTTTCGTTATAGTACTGCCTTTTCCGGCATTCTTCAATTTCGTGGCTGAGGTTCTTTACAATACCTACACCATTTATTCTGACGTTGGTTTTCGGCAATGCGTGATCTTTTGTTGTCTTGGAGGTGCGGTGTAGCTCTGTAGAGTGCATTAGTATACGGCGCGGCTTTGATAAGTGTTGTTTAGGTTAAGTCGCGAT